AAAGCGCTCCGTTAATTCTGATGCAAACTGAAGTTTGAGACCAAATGCTATGTGCACTGAAAGGCCAACTGCAAGTTGCAGCAAACCGTCATCTGCTTTTCTTTGGATAATGAGATCTGGGTGATCTCATTTTCTTCTTTGCATCTTCCTATAGTTTACAAAAATAGTCAGTGTTACATGGTTTTATTCGAAATGAAAATAACTATAATTTTTTTCAGGTTTTTAAAGTAATAAATGGGTTCCAGTTCTAAAATGATGCTGAACTTGTACCACGCCAGGAATCGATCTCAGGTGTTTCTTACCGATGGGCCGCCCGCACCATTTCAAATCTGAGGAAGATGTCCGCAAGCTGTGTTGAAAAACTGTGTGGCGGTTAATTGTAGGTGTCAACTTGACTGGGTTAAGGATGCCCAGATAGCCTGTAAAATATTACTGAGTGTGTCTCTTAGGGTGTCTCCAGAACAAATTAGCATTTGAATCAGTAGACTGGGTAAAGATCACCATTACCAATGCGGATGGGCACCATCCAATCCGCTGAGAACCTAAATAGAACTGTTCAGCGGGTGGGGGCAGACCTGGGGGAACTAGTTTCTCTGAATCCCCACCTCCGCGGAGAAAGCCATTAAGTGGTGCAGATTTGCGACAGTGAGGGTTAAATTCCCCTTTACTGGATGTAAGGCCACCTACCGGGGAGAAAAGACTACATTTCCCAGCCTTCCTTGCGGAAGGTCATCCTGGCCAATGATAAGTGAGCAGTCGGTCACATGGCAGCTTCCGGGACTTTCTGAGAGAGCCGTTTTTGCACAAATTTGTCCCGCCTTCGTCCCTTCCTCCATCTGCTGCCTGGAATGCGGCGGAGGAGGAATGGTGGAGGACGAGGACCACACCCAGGGAGGAGTTTGTAAGGAGCCTGCACCCCCAAGGACTTTGAGGCACAGAGCTGCCCCTCCTCCCTGAACAGCCCATCGCCCTCCTCCTTTTGTGTGAGAGGGAAACCAGCTTCTCTTGTTTAAGCCACGGTTTAGTAGCTGTGCTGTTACAGCCGAACCTAATCTTAAATAATTATAGAGCCAAGGGAGGAGGGAAGGCCTGAAGGGGAAGCAGGTCCCCGTGAGTGATAAAACCGCAGAGCCTGAGGGGTCTATTGGGAACCACAGGCTGAGGGCGGGGAGAAGAGAGAGGAGCGGGGACAACCTGTGAACCGAAGATCACCTGTCCAGAGGATTTGCAGGCCTGGAAAGAGTTTGAAGGGTCAGACACTGTGCAGCGGAGGGGCGAGGGGGGACGAGGAATGCTCCAGAGTAATCAGAAGCCAACACAACCACGCATCTGACTCCCTCACCTTTCCCACCCAGGCCGAGGGGGGAGGTGAGGGAGGAATTTTACCGTTAACCCGTTTGGAGGTTTTCATTTCTACCCAGGACTAGACATTCTGATTACCGATCTCAGACCAAATCGGCCACTTAAGTGATCACTAGCTTTAGAGGAGACCAGAGTTAGCAAATGAGGCAGAGTGAGCTCACCGTCTTGGGGCAGAGATGGTCTGCCCCGTCCGCAACCCTCCCACCCCAACCTTCACCCACCCAGCCTCTACCACGTGCCAGGAACTGTTCTAGGTGCTGACACGGGACAGTGAGCAGGGCACCTCGTGGAGCATACATGCTAATGGAGGAGATGGGTGCTACACAGGATACAATTTTTAAATAACCAAGTATGTTATGTAGTGATCAGTGCAAAGGAAATAAAGCTGAGAAAGGGGATAGGAAGTAGGGGGTTAAATTCCCGTTAGGAAGGTTAGGGAAGGCCTCACTAAAAGGCAACATTTCTGTAAAGACTAAAAATGTTAGAGGGGTTGGGATGCCTGGGTGGCTCAATTGGTTGGGCGCCTCTTGATTTCAGCTCGGCTCATGATCTCACAGTTTGTGAATTCAAGCCCTGAGTCAGTGGGAGCCTGCTTGGGATTCTCTCGTTCTCTCTCTCTCTCTCTCTCTCTCTCTCTCTGTCCCTCATGCTCAGTCTCTCAAAATATATAAATGAACTTTAAAAAAAAAAATGTTAGAGGGGCACAGGGAGAGAAAATACAGCCATGTGTTGATGATGTCACTTACTGGGTACAACCATGTAGTGCCTGCATATGTGTGTCTATGTGTGACAGAATGGGAATTGGCTCCCCAGCCCCCACAGGGTAGAGTGAAGTGTCTGGGACAGAGATTGAATATGAAACTGGGCAGGATGGGCCTCTCAGCCCAGCTCCAGACCTTAAGTATGGCCAAGAATGGGGCCATGTGTCACCAGCCCTGGGCAGCATCAGTGACACCTCCTCTCAGTCTGGACAGCGCTATCTGGGAAGGAGGACGGGCCCCGGAGATTGTACAGTCCCCTGTGTCTGGCCTGTGGCATCAGGGATTGTGGACAGCATGTGACCATGCTCCTGCCTCACCCTAGCCCACTACCTCTGCCATTTTCCATTCCCCAAAAGCAGACAGATCTGATGGGGTTTTTCCAGGCTGGGCCAGTGTCCTCACCCAGCAGGGGCTGTGAGGACAGGGCAGGGACCATTCCTGGACAGTCAGGAGAGATGAGGTGTGTCCCTGAGCCCCCATGGCTGGGGCTGGGGGTCGGGGGTCGGGGAGCAGCTTTGCCAGGAGCAGGCAGAGGTGAGGGTTGGGAAAGTCAGCCATACCCCCACCCCACATCCTGTTTTTGGAATGTGGGGCCCCAGCATGTGCTTTCCTTTGGACTTTGTCCAAGGCAGTGTCTCCCCACCCAGGTCCACTCCCAAGGGAACCCTGCATGACAGTGCGGAGGGTTCCCCACCACATCCATCATTAACCGAGGGTTTTTCCAGGCTGGGCAGGACCCCTGAGCCAGTGTAGGTGAAGGGCACATTTCCCACCCCTCCCTGAAATCAGGCCAGGGGGTCCCTGTCAACACATGGAAAACTATACAGGCCCCCATGGCTGACGGGGAAAGGAAATGTCATGGAGGGGGAGGTTCTTGGCCTCCCCACTCAGAGAGGGGCAGGCGTGTCTGGGCCCACCAGACCCAACCAAAGCCCTGGGGATGGTCAGGCCCCGGAACACCACCTGGGAAGCCCAGCCAAGCTAGAGTGAGAACAGTTCCATGAGGGGCTTAAGCACATGGGCTCCCAACCCATCAAGCCAGGCATGAGACGGGAACTGGCTATTTACTTGCTGTGTGGGCAAGTGGCTTAGACCCTCCCAGTCTCAGCTTCCCTCCTGCCAGGGTCATCAAGAGGATGCAATGAGCTGATTTGTGTGATCGGCTCGGCGCGAGGCCTGGTCCAGAGCGGGTGTACAGGGGAAGGGGAATGGTGTGCGGGTGGGGCAGATTCCTAGAAAGGCCTAGAGGGGACAAACAAGATGTCTCAACCTGAGGGTGTCCCCTCCTCAGCCACTCAGATCACCACGCATCATCCTAACTCTTCCCCTAAGGGATAGCTTCTCCTGCCACCTAGAGTTGTAGAATGTGATTCCGAGCCTTACCAGGGCAGAGAAGTCCTTCTATTCATTTTTCACATTATAAAATAACATGCTTATTAGAATAAATCTGGAAATTATAGAAAAGCAGGAAGAAAGCAAAAGCTTTTATTTAACCACCAGTGCCGAACACTCTTGATGCCTTAATGGTTTCCATGTGGGATTCTTTCCTGGGCACAGGTTGGCTTTGTTCTCCATAATATGGTTGGGACCTTAGCATTAAGACAAGGAAACTTGGGGGTCAGACAGTGCAGCCTCCTCAGCTGACAAGCCAGGAGACTGGGCCCACCCTGAAGACTGCCTTCGAAGGTGACAGTCAGTTGCTAGTGGATCTAGGCCTTCCAGTTTGGGGGAGTCTGTTCCATGGGCTTCCGTAGAGTCCCCCTCCCTCAAAAGGGGTGTGGCTCTGGTTAACTCCCACCCCCATTTCCAGAAGGAGACACAGCAGGTGGGATGGGGGAAGGGTGGGTAAGGGATAGAAAGGGAGGGCTGCAAAGCCCAGCAAGGGGCATGGCCTTGTGTACGTTCCCAAGGGTGGAGCCAACCGACAGGGCCACCCTGTCCCTTTAAGAGAAGGGGGAGAGCAAGCCCCTCTTGGCTATTCTGTCCTGTCATCTATCCTGGCCAAACCCAAAAGGGAAAATGAAAGAGGGCCCGGGAGAGTAACAGGTCCCAGCCATCTCCCAGGATCCGTCCCTCAGCTCTAACACCTCAGCTCCAGCCACAGGGTGAGTGGGGTCAGGCTGGGGTCCGGTGGCACGGGGAGCCTGTGGGGCCTGCGTGAGTGTGTTGGGGAGGTTCTCCGGAGATGTGGGAGGCTGGAAGCAGAGGGACACCATGGAGGAGATCGGAGATGGCTGGGCCGCTCAGGAGTGGGATGGCAGGGGACCCCTAGAACAAGGGATAATGACAGAGTTATGGAACTCCCCATTCTGAGAGGAGTTCACTGCAGTAAGAAGGGCAGGAGAAATGGTGGGCAGAGAAGGAAGGAGGTGAGGTCCCTCTGGGTCTGCTGGCTCCCACCTCTCCCAGGTTAAGTTGGGTCTGGACTCCCCGGTTGGAGGTACCACGGTTGCCCATGGAAAGCATCCTTGGGCACGTAAGGGCACCACCGGGCTTCTGGTTCTACAATGCAGTCGGTCTGGCCCTGCCGATGTCAAGTTGATTCCCTACGGATATAGACCCTGGAGGAGCATGGGGTCCAACCAAGCAGGCCCGTGGGGGTCTGGCTAGAGCACCAGGGTGGGGCTCCTCCCCAGCACCTTCTCCCCAAGGAGAAAGGCACCCACAGTTGAGAATCTCCTAACCCCTCCTGCCCCCGCCCCCTTGCTGACTCCCTCGTTCCCACAAAATCCCAGCTAAACCCAGGCCTGAGCCCCTGCCTCACCCCAAGTTAGAGGAGGGCTAGCTAACCTCACCCCATGGGCTAGGGGGCTGGGGGGGGGCGCTGATCGGTAGCCTCTGACACCGGTCCCCCCCAACCCCTGCGTCCCCAGCGCCATGGGGGAGTGGGCGTTCCTGGGCTCGCTGCTGGACGCCGTGCAGCTGCAGTCGCCGCTCGTGGGCCGCCTGTGGCTGGTGGTCATGCTGATCTTCCGCATCCTGGTGCTGGCCACGGTGGGCGGTGCCGTGTTCGAGGACGAGCAGGAGGAGTTCGTGTGCAACACGCTGCAGCCCGGCTGCCGCCAGACCTGCTACGACCGCGCCTTCCCGGTCTCCCACTACCGCTTCTGGCTCTTCCACATCCTGCTGCTCTCGGCGCCCCCCGTGCTCTTCGTCATCTACTCGGTGCACCGCGCCGGAAAGCAGGCGGGCGGCGCGGAC